GGGCTCTGGCGCTGGTCTGCGGCCTGCGGGGCCGGGGCGAGGCAGAGAGGCCTAGTGCGACCCGTATGGGTTTGGGGCCTAGGAGTCCGGGGGGGTATGGTTTGAGGGGCGAGAGAGCCGGCCGGGGTCACTTGCAGTGGAGTGGAAATCCAGGGGGAGGTGAGTGTTTTCCGTTTAAAAACAAAAGACATCTTGTTCTTCCTCCACCCCCCTCCCTGAGTCCTTTCTTCTCCCCAAAACTGCTGCTGTGGACTGTAACCTGAGCAGGGCATAGGTTTAGACCCTGAATAACTGGGGTTGCCAGTAAGGCTTAATTTCCGCAGTTGCCAGCTGCTAGGCATGTTCAGAAAACATCAAATCGTTAAGCTACTGACAATAACCTCAGTTTCTGTAAGGTGGGTACTGTATTCCTTTGCTGTGCCAACTGAAAAAAAAAAACCAGTTCTTGAGGATGAGTCTGGAGAATGCCATATATTGTGATAGTGCTCTCCTTAGGGCACAGTTAAACTGTTGTTATTACATTTCTGTGTATTTGTATCACTGTGAAGTGTAATCTGACAGTCCAAGGCAGCTGTCAGTGACAGTTCATGTAAATGTAAACACTTGCCACTCAGAAACTCACACTGCAAAATTGAGCGGGTCAGTATGAGGCAGAACATGTAATTTTTGGTAAATGCTTCAAATGGAATTGTCACGTTGCATGTTATGGGCTCCCAGAGTTCTAGGGTGTTTTATTACATCTGCTACAGGATTACTGGTACTGAAAAAACATTGCAGAGGTTCAGGGTAGTGGCGAGAGTTGCCTTGACTACGGTATGGAGGACGTATTTAAAGTTTACACTGATTCAGTGTAATTGCCTGTTTATATTTGTAATACTGAGTGCTTTTCCCAAATGTGCAGAAGTACTGTGACCCATTTACTACTGCAAGTGTGTAGTCTGTGGGTGAAAAGAGAGAGGAGTTAGGTTTTCTTAACAGTGTTATGTTGGATGTAGTAGTGGGAGAAAATGGTTTGAGTTCTAATTACAGAACTTGTTGCTTTAATGCAAGTAATTAAGATTAGAAAGACTAATGCTGATTTTCTTTTTTAATAGGAAAAGAAAATTAATTAACTTGAAAAAGTGTTTTGAAAGGAGATCTAAAATTTAGAAATAACATTTTAACATCAGTGCTGTAACTTCATATCTAATGTGAATGCCTATTCTCTTGTGATCTGTTACAGGCTCTTAAGTACTCATCCAAGAGTCACCCCGGTGGTGGTGATCACCGTCATGACAAGATGCGAGACACCACAGATCCTTCACCACCAAATAAAATGTTGCGGCGCTCTGATAGCCCTGAAAACAAATATGGTGACAACACAGGGCACAGTAAAGCAAAAAGTGTGCATACTCACAGAGTTAGAGAGAGGGATGGTGGTGAGTTGTCTTTAATTAACCTTTATTTAAGAAATCACTAATTTCTCATAAATATCAAAGTTTAGCCATTATCACTCAGGTGATGAGAGTGTTAAACTAAATGTGCCTTGTATGGTGCTTGGAAGACTACAGTGAAACCAAAGTGCAAGCTTCATTGGAAGCAATCATTTAGGCATTCTAACGCCTATTAATTTTTTTGATTTTTTTACAGGTATGGTAGTTTTTCTTATAACCACAAAGATTAAATAACCTTTTTTTTTTTTAGCTGGTAGGTCTGACTTCAGACATACTGCAGCATTTGGTAACATGAAATAGTATTCTGGATTTTTCACTAACAAGAAATACTGTCTGGTTTAGAGACTTTTATTAACTTGTGGTGCTGTACTGTGTAGTTTTTGCTTGATAGACTAAACATCATAAGAAATGAAAAAAAGCTTCTTCATATTTAGCTGCTGTGTAGAACTGAACAATGAGAAAAGGATAATCAAAGGTAGCCCTTACTGGAGCTTAGAGAATGATGTTCGCGGTCAAGTCAGCCTCCTGAGTTTTTATAGGACATTACAGACAGTAGTACTATCCCCAATATTTTTTAACTGATGTTATTTTCTATCCCTGCTTCTTAGAAAGAGTAGGGTTTTCCATTTCATAAAAAATGGTAACAGTTGCAGTTCAGAAAATCCTGGTTACTGACTGAACTTGGAAGTGTGTTTTCTGGTTTTGTAAGTACTTTATTTGGTCATTGTATCGAGTTGTAAAGTGAGGTATCCAAGTAGAGAACTTAGAGCTTTAAATCAGTTCTTCTTTGTTCTGTATAAAGTTAACAGCTTGCGATGTGCAGATACATTCATTGCTGCATGATTTTCACTTGTTACGGTAAAGTTCGTTAAAGAATAAATAAATAGATATCAAATAAATAAAATATCTGTAGGTACCTTTCAGGAAATGCTAGTTCCACACCACGAATGTGTTTATGGTACCCGAGTCGTCTTAAAATTCCTATGTGTTTTTCCTTTGGTTTAATACAGAAGCTCTGTAAACCAGTGATAATGTGATATAATTGTGTAGATGGATTATAAAAGCATGCATCTTTTGTTAATACAGTGCTTTTCATTATATCTGATCATACTTCAAAATGTAGTAATCTCAGAGTGAAACGCATGTGCAGGGCCAGTAGGCTGTTACTCTGTGCTACTGTTCAGGACACAGAGGTCTCTCTGTTTCCTGTTTACCTGTCCAAAGATACTTGTCCTAGGTACTCTTGCAATTCTGTTTAGTTTTGCTACAATAAGTAGTTCTTTTCTGCTTCAGTGGAGCAACATTTAGTGGAGTTATGCATATATGGAAACATCTGGAGGATGAGGCTCTATATGGGGAGCCTATGTGCTTATTTGTGTGTTGGAATTGTTCTTAAGATAGGAAGGACATTCTGAAGTTCTCACTGAGCCCAGCTGGATTTAATAATTGGGGAATGACCTGAAGCAGGGATGTATACAGTAATGGTGAAGGAAAATGAGTTGGTTTTAGTTTTGTAAGGGAAAGGAACACTATCCCGCTGTATCTTTTCCTTCCCCAGGCTGTTAACACAGTGGAAAATTTCATTTATTGTGATCTGAAAGCAGTCTTTTACTCTGATCTGGTAATCAAGGGGGAGAAGGAAGTAGTCTGCAACAGTCCGAGGGGAAATTACTAATTTTAGAAGATGAACATTTGTACTATTTAATAAGAAGTGATTTTGTGTGTGTGTGTTTTTAGGAAGGTTCGTTTGGCCCCAGTTTCAGCTTTTTAAAATGTATTGATGGCAACTAAAGTTGCGTTAAACCCCATGTATTGTGTGTAGCAAGCCACAGCTGAGCAGGTGTGAGCAGGAGGATGCCAACTTTGATTTGCTGAATCTTTCTGTCAGTATGAATTGAAGGTAGGTGTTAGAATACAGGTGGAACGTGGTGGTGTTAGGGACTTTTGCATATTAGCAATATGTAGAAGGCAGTCTAATAACTTACATGTTCTCTGTTGAAGTACACTGAGGTACTGTTGTAGTATTCCCTTAGTCTTGCAATTATAGGCATACAGTGGAAAACAACAAAAAACCCCAAATTTAAAGAAATTGTTAAACTTTTCTGTTGAAGTTGTAGTATGACTGAAGAGTATTAACTGGATTTGATGCTGCTTTAGTTTTCTGGCTTGGTTTCTTTTCTTTTTATATTCTTCTGAGGGAAAAAATAGTTGTGAGTTTTTTGGGGAGTGTGTGCAATTGCTGTGCATTTCATTAGTTTAAAATCAGTGATGCTTGATTTGGAACTACTACAAAGGTGTTACTGCCTTCCTATGACCTAGGTGAACTTTACCTCATTGAAAAATCTCCAGTATTTATTTCTCCAAACTGCATTAAAGTCCCATACAAGCCATCTCTTTCAGCCCAGAACAATCTGGAGTATTACTACTGAACATAAAGCTGAATTAAGCTAATCTCTGCCTTTTCAGTCAGTGTTTAAAAAGTCACTCCTACGTATCTCGTGTGTGACTTTTTTGCTCTGAAGTGAAACGGGACGATTCAGTGGTGTAGCACGTTGATACCTGGGACTTACTTAGTCACGGTGAGTCCATGTCTTTTGTGCTGAAGACAGCTGGCTAAACGTCACTTAAAGATTTTCAGTGTAGGCATATGGAATGTAAAAGCTATAATTGAATTGAGTGAAAATTAATAACTCGGAAATGGTGGAACCTGCCCCTGTAAATACCTTTGGTACCTGTATAAAGGTATTTGTAGTTACGGCTTATCTTTGTAGTACTCGTGGCAGAATCTTCTGTGTTTGTAGAACTGTAATCTGTGGTAAGAAATTCAGTTGCTTTCAGTGAAGGTTTGCAAACGCGTGTTACGGGTAAGCCTTCCGTACTGATACAGTGCAAACAAAGCATTTTTTCACAGTTGCTTACTGCGTGGTTTCTGTGGGGAGAGAGAGACTACGTACAAAGATGATTGTTTCTCTGGAGAGAGACTTCCAAGTTTACCTTGGACTAAACACGGTGGAGTACTTGCAAGTTTTTGTCACATCACCAGTTTCCAAAGAGGACTTGTACATCTAGCATATCAAAAACCTGCAGTAACTTTATTCTCGCTTTCAGGCCCTTGTGCATGGGGACATTATCTCTGTATACAAGTGTTTAAAACGTAATGAACTGCCACCCCCCTCAGTGCATCTCTTATTTCTAGGTCAGCTGCTATAGGCAAGTGCGGAGTTTGAGGAGATTAAGGGGTCTTATGAGACCAACTCAAGTGTGAAGTTCCTTAACAGTAACAAATAGGGACTTAAAGCTAGCATTGTTTACAGGGAATAGAACTATGAAGGGCCTTGTAGATGTGGAAAAGTGTTTCCTCTGAAGAAAAAAGGGAAGTACAAAGATTTGAGGGATTCTCGTGCTGGAGAATGGGCAGACTGAGAGCATAGATGATCCTTGTAGGTCTTTTTAAATGCATACATGAGATGATGCTAGTGTACAGGAAAGAAAACAAAGAGGTTGAATAAGTAGAGTAGCTTTGGGAACGCTGTAAGGGAGACAGATGTATTATTTAGGAGTGAAAATTGCAAGATTCAGCCCATGGTAAAAAAGGGAAAAGGATGTTTCTTTCTACTTAAATGTATGAAGCAGAATGAGGGACTAAGATACATAGTAGAACTTTGTGCAAAATAAGTAGTTAAGCCACGTGTACTCAGTTGTTTCTTACAGTGAAGAAGAAACTTATGTTTATATAGAAAACACTACTTATGTGTAGTGTTTTGCTACATTTATATTTAAGAGTCTTTGAAAATGCATGTTTGCTTCTCACCATGATCTTAGTGAATTGTTTAAAATAAATAGAGAGCATTAATGTACGTGGCATAAAATCTTTTGCTGGATTGTGTGCTATGTGGGTTAATTTCATGAAATTGGCTTATAACTTGTGATATTTAAGTTGCAAATTACAACTGAACTTTTGTGAGTGTTTCTTTTGCATGTGTTTTGTTTTTTTTAATTGGCAATTAAGAATACTGTCAATGACCACTGTTACTGACTGTAATGCAGTTCACTGTAATGCAGTTCTAAGATTGAGAATCCTACTGCTATTAGAGGCTGAATGGAATATTTTAAATCATGACTTCCCAGTTTTATCACAGTAGTGGTGGGAGCTCTGTCACCAAGTGTTGGCTTGCTTTGTTTCCATTGGTTCCTGAAGGAGTTCAGAGTCCTCCTAGCAAAGGGACAGCGAACAGCCGGAAACAGCTAGCTTTTCTTCCCTGTCTTCACAACTCCCACGGTAGAGGAGGACAAGAGGCTAACTGCTGATTAAATTAGCATGATCATTGACCAGCAGTCAGAAATAAACAGGGCATTAAGGCAGGTACAGGAGAGTGGAAGCTGCCTGGACAACGTGCATTGGAAAGAGGAAATTGCAGAGTAAGTGGAAAGAGGGAAGTCGGAGAGTAATGAAGCGTAGTGAAGGGTTGAGGAAGAGGCCGGAATAGATTTTTATCTAGTTAGTACTGGATGCTGTTAATGGTAAAGTAATTATTCATTAGGATGAAAACCATTTCTTCACTGTCACTGTATGGTCAAAGCTGGCATGAGAGAAGCCTGTGATCAGAAATGAGAGTAGGCTGTCCATGAAACATGCTTTGAACACTCCCCCTCCTCCCTGCAACTTCACCACAACATCCAAGTGTAACTTGGATGATTAACTCCCCTCTTCCTTAAACGCTGGCTGTTAGATGGCTCTAAAGGAGATGGCGTTTGGTTTGTTTCTTAAGATAAATAACAATTGCGTCCAGAATCATTAATATCTTAGAAGCTTTTATCTGGATTAAAAATAAAAAGATGGAAAAAACTAGATTTCTGTGGGTTTCTAATTTTGATAAAAGCTTTCTTCCAAATCTCACTAGTACCTTTAGTTGCGTGGTGTGTGTGTCTTAAGTTTGCTTTAAAAGTTTAGAAGTCTTGGATAGAAATTAGCTTTACCTTTACTC